CTAGGATTTTCAACATACTGTTGAAATACGTGTGGTATTGAGCTGTCTGTCTGCTGACTTAAATAGCAATGTTTACAGTTTCACAATGGAAGATGATTGCTGTTGGACTTTCACAGATACAGCTTAAGTTAAGGAAATTAATTTCTGATATTCTTGTATGCCTAAGAGAAAAAGGAGGCAATGTTATTCAATGTGTGGGTCAAAGGTGAATGGGAGTTTGAAATTTTATTTTTGGAAAAGAAATAGAAGCTTGGAACACAACAGAGAGAAATGGGAGAGAGCACTGATTAAGTCCTAGGGGAATACTCAGTACAAATGGGCCAGAAAACATATGGTTCTGCTGTGGAGGGAGAGCATGAGCTTGGAGTAGCACTAACATGCCCAGCTGAGCAGCCTCCAATCTAGTGGCTGAAACAGAGATTAACATTTGGATTAAATTTGGGCTGAGGTTTTGTAGATCAGGAATAAAGGAAGAATCAAAGGGTTATAGGGGTTGGCAGTAAAACTGAGAGTGAGCGATGGGATGGAACTTGTAAGGCTCTATGCTTGATAAGAAGTAAGGTCAGAGCCTCATAATAGGAAGAAATGAATACCATGGTCAGAAGAACAGTCATCAATGAAATAAAGAAACACACACTTTCCAATAAAGTGTTGCAGATTGAGAAAAGAGGGGAATTTAGGCATTTTAGGTTTCAGAGGTGAAGTTTCATGACATGAGGTACTGCCAAGAGAGCAGAGAAGGGCAGAAGTAGAGGTCAAACAATGATTAAGTCGTGTTTGGTGCACTAATAATATGAACGTGAAATTGCACAAGATCACAATGAACTCAGGAAGGTGGGAAAGGAGGCCACCCTCCCTAGGAGATGTGGGCGAGAATCAAGGAGGTCGTTCAGTCACAGCGACAGTGAGGGATACGACGGTAAAGCTCAAGGTTCAAAGGAAGAGTTTTCATACAAGGTCGGGAGAGATTTTGATTTAGAAGCAGCAGTGGGAACAGGAGGAATGCAACAGGTGTACAACTTTGCTTCTTCCTGGCACCAGCCCTGTGATTACAGGGAAGAGAAAGCATGGACAGTGACCTCTCTGGGGGCTCGAAATTCCTCAACAGGTTATGGTAAACCAACAACCACTGTGTGGTCATGTAAAAAAACATACAGGGATAAAAATGATAATTTATAAAGAATAGACATATTTTATACTTTAAAACAGAAATTTATATAAAATGTAATTCAAAGATGAGCACACATTAACACAGAGGAATGATGACAACTCAGGAGTAAAAAATTCGTACCACCGCAAACTCATAGAAGACCAAAAGGACCACACAAATATGCTAAATTGTTAACAGCGACTGTTTTCTGCAAAGAGATTATGGGTCATTTTTCCTCCTTTTTTCCCCACTTCCCAAATTCATGTAAGTGTTGATAATAGTTTTATAATGAGAAAATTAAAGACATAAATACGATAATCATGTCTATGAAATTTGAGTAGTAATTAATAGGATGTCTTCTAGATCACAGTGCAATTTAATAACCAAAATGACCCTCTACGTCTATTCTTCTTTTACTTAAGTGTAAAGTCAAAATCTCCAACTAAGATTCTGATAAATTTGAATTTCATTGTTCTTACATTTGGCACACCAAGGAGATTTTCTTTGACTTGAAAGTTATGGAGAATAATTGTAACCATGACTAATTTAAATGACTTGCATTATTCTGTTTAAAAGCCCATGCTTTTCAGTTCTTTTCAAGAACCCACATGTTTCTTATTATAATAAGGGGTAGAGGTTAGGAAGGAAAAGGATTTAACACAGCTGTTACTTAAAGATAGATATAATACAGACCCTTTTAAAAGCACTCTACTATAAAAAATTATGAAAATACAAAGGAAACCAAAGTAACCTCTAATTTCTCATCTAAAAATGAATCAAGTCATGAATTGGGAGTCAAGAGAACCTCTCATCTGAAAACATAACATACTGTCCTGGACATGATACACTACACGGCAACAAGACGATGAGCGACCTCTAAAACCCTCCAGGATGCATGTCACAATAATGGACTAATCAGGAAATCAGAGGTTTTACGTGATCAAATGCGTGTACCCTAACAAAAGTAAGTCACCTCGCTCCAGAACTGTTGCTTTTAACCGCTAGCTAGACATCCTAAGTTCAAAAGCCTGGCTTTCCTGGCACAAAACCCTGCACGTTCCTAGGTAAAGTTATTTATCCCGTGATTGCACACGATGAAGTAAGTTATATACCTATGATCCCCACTATGTCTTGTGGCTTAAGGTAACGTGATATGTGACAAGAACCAAAGGCACAACAATGAACACGTGCTGAGCACTGCCTTCAGGAGCCTGAGCCACACAAACACCCATTTTAAAATCTTACGACTGAAGCATGAAGATGCACATAGGATATTATGGCAGAATGAAAAAGAGACATTGAATAGGGGAAAGTCAAAGCAGGAAAGGCTTTCAGAAAGGGAAATAGCTTGGTGGTACCACTGAGTGGGCAGAGGTGAGCCAGAGGCAGGCAGCGGGAGGGGAGCTGGGGGTGGAATTTCTAAACAAAGGACTGATCAGGGGAAAGGGTAAGGAAAAGCTAGTGAGAGTTGATGTCACGTGTCGCGGGCGGCTTACGTCCTTTAAACGTGCAAACCACGGGGGACATTTCTGCCCCAACATTGCACTTAGCACATTCTCAATAAGGGGTATGTTAAAAGAAATGCACAGCAAGACTAATATAAAATGTGATTCAATGTAGGGCCTTAAAGAAAAACATGATTTTAAAGAATCAAACATATTTC